TTATTTTTCCCACTGTCCCAGCACAGACCCCCACCTGCAGCCTCTCTATCCTCCCAGCTCCATCACAACCATACTACCCCCATATCTGTCTCACCCCATGCCTCAGACTGCCTGGAGCCATACAGCCCTGCCTACCTTGGAGGCAAGCAGCCCTTAAAGGCAGTGGATGACCCACGGGACATAGCAGTAGCACACGGCTGGGAGGAAGAAGGTGCTATGGAGACACCCATGGGCCACAAAGCTCTGACAGAGAACTCCGTGCAGGGCACCAAGCTCTGCACTCTCATTCAGTAACAAGTTGGCACTGCTGTCCATCAACATTTGCATCCAGCCTCATTCGGGTGACAGATCTTCAGAGAAGCTCATGGTTTCTTCTCTCTCTCTCTCTCCCGCCCTTTAAATAAACAGCTCATTTTTTTAGAACCTTATGGACAAGTTTCTGGGGGGGTTTTATGGACTTTGTAAATGTACAGACAGTTGGCAACCCCACCTAGCCAGCTCTAAACAAGCTAGCTTGGGCAAAATAGCTGTGATAGCTTGGAGCAAGAAAATTTCCATGTAAGACAATTTCCTCTCCATTTTACTGCAACTAGACTTCTTATGGTACCTTAGGTACCAGCTTATGTACCACCGTACAGCATCATAGCATGCAGTGTAGACACATTTATGGTGATAAAAGCACAGGTATGTCTCAGCAGAAGAATAGAGTTACCTGTCCCACTAAATAGAATAACTTCCAATTACACCGATCTAATAAAGAGCTCTATATTATGATAGAAGTGGCTACATTCCAAGGTGAATTACACTTTTCTTCTCTGCTACAGAACCATTACACTTGTGTTTACTTAGTTTTGGGCATCCAGAGTCTGTTCTTCAGCCTATTGAATTCAGTGAAGGTTTTTACATTGAATTCAGTGAGCTGTAGATGTGGTCCACCGTGAGCCCCCTGGTACATATCTAGGCTGCTTTCTCCCATCGGTTATTGGTTTTTAAAAAATCCTCATTTTTTTAATGCTTTAGATAAATTCAGAAACCTTTACATTCAAATTCTAAAATGTTTTTTTCTCTACACTTATTCTTCCCTATTGGAAAAAATATGTAAAACTAAATTTATAAAAAATAGTTTTATAACTGGATTTCCAGGCATATTCAGTATAGTTTTGACATTGACTTTATTACTTTTATAAAGCAACTTGGAATCATTAGGAAAGAAAACTACTTTAAAATCTTACAGTGTAATTATTATCTCACAGCCTAATAGGTACAGGATAGAGTAGATTTTACAGCATTTAACCACTCCTCATCCAAATTCTCTAAACACACCAAACAACAGTTTCTAAAAGGGGTAGAGTGAAGAGCATATTTTATAAGGATAAGAAGTCCACCAGGTTTTCAGCAGGTCTGTTTGATAACACTGGGGAATGTGAATGTAATTCTTGTTAAAATAGCTTTTACACATAATATGGATTGTGGTACATATCAATGGTAGAGATGCCTTTGTTTTTTATGACTGCCCAATAAAAGCATATCATATATTCCAGAAAATTATTCTGAAATCTAAAATAAGAAATGAGTTGATTAGACATGCATGTTTTGGTTGTAAAACTGCAGTCATTAAAATAATGCAGATTCCCAACTCATGACGGCTGGAGCATGTTTGCTTACAAACCACATTAAATGAATTGCAGAACTGAAAAATGAAGATTACCCCTTCAGCTTGTCTTTATCACACTACACATGGCAGAAGAATAAGTCACTCGTGCTGCTGGATATTCAACAGAACGATGGCAAGTCCAACATGTGATCTGGATCACTGACAACCAAAAACGCAAGGCATAAAGTAACAAAATCCATTTGTCCTTGTGACACCTCAAAATCCTCTCATTTTTAATGCCTTACCTTATTTTCAACTGGGTCATAGTCCAGTGCTAAGACTGCTCCCATCTGCCAATCGAGTAAACTTGAATAATCTGTTCCATCAAAACTGATGCGTCGGATGTCTTGACCATTTGCAAATAACAAAAATGGCCTGGGACCTGTTAATGAAGTTTTATACATGTGCATTCTTTTAGGTCCAACATAATCTGTAGTTAGGATGCTTGAAAAACAACTAGTATACATTCCTCCTCTTTGTTTCTCCTCTCTGCTCTTCTTTTTTCCTCCTTAAACAGCAAGATTTTTCAGTGAAGACAGAAAAAAGCTAATAGTCTTTTACTGGAAGCAGTAGCCTCTTTTCTTTCTTTTGCTGTGTTTTAACTCACATTTATTTATCTCTTCTACATCATGGAATGAAGGCTGATACTAGGCTTAGGCTGACCAAATCATGATGTCCTTACTTAGTGATTACTCAGTCTTTTACTCAAGCGCACTTCACAATTAGTGCAGGGCTTGTCTCAGGAAGGACAGAGAGTTTGAAGCTCAGTATTAAAAAACTAAGCCAGAAGGATTTCAGTTGATAAAAGTGTATAAATGGAATTATAAAATAAAAGAGACAATAAACATCAGCTGAAATCCATGCTCCAATCCCTGCACTGCTAGAACCAGGAAATAAACAAATTAAAATGAAAAAGAGTCAGTGCTTTATTTTACTGCACTTGCTTTTCAGCCATGGGTCCTGCATTTTAATGCCACATAGATTACCAATGAAGTTAGTCTGGCTGCTTCCACCAAACTAGTTACAGTTGCTGTTTCTATTATTAGGCTAAAAATGAGGTTAAGGTCTCATTGTGCTGGGCAATGTACAAACACACTGTAGGGGGCAATACCTGCCCCACAGAGTTACAATCTAAATGGACAAGGATGAAAGACAGGATGGGGAACAGAAGCACAGAGAGATTAAAGTCCAAATTGCAAGTGTGCAGATAAGAGTAAAGGTAGGCACATGCATAAGCAATTTGCAGTGTCAGAAGCTTAGGATTTACCCAGTATCACCCAGAGAGCCTGTGGTAAAGTCAGGAATTGTTCTCAGATTTTGAATCCCAATCCAAGTGACATGGCCACCAGCAAAACTTCTTCTTACATAGTGTGTTTCTAACTCTAAGCTCATCACAGCATTACCACACAATCCAGCTTGTGTGTGTTGATTAGGAGCCTTGAACATAGCAAAGAAACCACAGATCCATAGAGACACACTGTGAAAAAGCCTGCACAGCACAGTTCTATACTGTTGAATTGCTGTGTGCCTGGTGTGTACTGGTGGGTGCCAGGTGTTTGCCCATACAATATACACATCTTTAATATACCAAATAGAAAATAAACAAAGTAAAGTATTTCTGTATGATGTTCATCATACCATGTCATTTGGACTAAAAATCTAAAAGTAAAGGTGCATCCAACAAATCAAATGCTACAGAGGAAACCCATGCACATGTCATACTGATATGCACTCAACAACTCTGGTTTTTGGGGGGTAAGAGAAACAAATTATGGGAAAAGGGCTCTCAAAGGGCTTTGCCCCACCCAACCTCCAGATATAAAAGCCTAGATCCCCATATTAAATCATAAAGCATGTGGACAGACTGTTGGACATATATGGGTCACCATTTATTTGTGTGAAACAACCTACATTCCCCAGTGCAGAATCAAGAGCTCAGGTAAATATGGGCATTGGCTATGTGGGGGAGACTGAACTATAACATTGTGTATGTCACAATAATAATTCCATTAGCTTTTATGTACTCAGTCCACCAATATTACCCAAATTCATCCCAAGCAATTAAAAAAAATTAAAAGACTGATCTAGAACAGACAATCTACTTTAAACAACAATAGAACTTTTGACTTTTGTTGCTACGGGTATACAAAAATATTACAATACTGACCGATAGCTGTACAGTGTTTTTTATCTTCCTGCAGCTTATATCCGGGAAAACAAGCACACTCCCAGGAGTATGGGCTTAAAGGGGTACAAATCTGGCTGCATCCACCATTATCTGGAGACGTACAACCTTAAACAGAGCATTTTGTTTCAAATTATCCTGTAGTTCTAAGGTAAAATGTCATAAAAAAGCATAAGGATAAGCCACAGAACAATCTATCACACAGCTGCGAACTAGAGCTGATACTGATTTCAGGAAATTGGCATTAATTACTGAAGTTTAGTCACATGAGTGAAGATGAACTGTCACAGCCCTTCTTGGCAATGTACACCAGAGGGGAGTAAGACATATGAACTGAGCTTACATTTGATGAGCATTACTGCAGCTCACTTTAGTCAGCAAAAATCCAGTCCAACCTACAGGGAACTAATGATTTCTATCTGATGCTGAGCACCCATACTGGGTGCAATAGTAGGGCCAATGAAAGCCATTCTCCCTCCAGAAGGTAAAATGAATTACAATCATGACACAAAGGAATCCAGTAATCTTCTCATTTGACAGACCAGATCTTCATGTTTAATTTAACCCACACTGCTTTTTTAGGATAATGGCTCATGCAATATCCAGAGATGAAAAGTGTGAGGGCTTTTTAAAATCATTACACAGTTGTACTTATAGCAAAGAGACTATTCCTTCCCCACATGGACGTGTAAAAATATTAACTACATTAACTTACTGAACCTTGTGTACCTAGCACTGTGCCTGACTAATCTATCCCATGTAAACCATGGTCTAATGCAGACAGAAGCTGTGAAAGGGCCACAGTGGCTCTGATATTCCCATGGCACAAGAGCTGTAGGGAGCTGGAATAAACAGGCCTAGACTGTCTCTTAATTTATTGTACCTGGTGTGGAGGACATGCTGGGAATGGCATAAGTGCTGGTGAGCAAGTAGAAATAGCATAAAGCAGCACACAGGAAGCCCAGGTAAGACCTCTGCATGATAAAACAGCCCAGAATCCAGAGCATGTAAAGACAGTGTTAGGTCACCTTCAGCCCTCCAAATCTTAAGTGTGTTCTCTAGAAGAAATGCCTAGACTAGCACTTGCAAAGCTAGACAGCCTAAGAGACTTCTTCAATTGTAACAAGCAAAAAATGCCAATTAAGTGACAAAGATGAGTTCTGCTGGTCAAGTCAAAGATTCTCCATTGCATTGCCTGACATACAGTCATCTACAGCTGTGTAAAATGAGTGTGAAATATTATTATTCAGTTTTGGCTTTTAGCACCGACGACAAATGGAGACCTTGGCAGCTACTAGAGCAAGAAATATGATAATATACCTACCCATGCATGTCTTGCCATCTGCTTTAAGCACTGATCCCTCAGGACAAAAGCAAAGTGGCCCTTCAGAAGTCTGAAGACAACCGTGGCTGCATTCAGTGTAATTATCTGTACAAGAAATGAGTTCTATACCAATTTGGAAGAGAAAAAAAAAGATGATTTAGAAAAACCCATAGTTTAGCAGCTCAAAAACGATTTGTTAATTAAGTGACAGTATATTTCTAGTTTGCTTTTCAAAATCACTCCATGCTATGTATGGTAAAGGAAAAAGTTGAAAGTTGTTGTGCTCTGATGCTGTTAAACTTGCAATGTGAAACTTTATGACACTTTACTAAGAGGTGTGAGCCAAGTAGCAGCACCTTTATAAACTATTTGAGACACACTCACCTATTGCATGAGAAATTTACCAAAAAACTGGACAGGAGCTCTGAAATTTTAAGAAAGGTTAATACAGGCAGTCCTCAACTTACAACATTTTGAGTTACAATGTTTCGCACTTACAACATTTATAAATTGACACCCTGTTTCAACTTTATGACGTCAGTTTCGACTTACAATGCTTGGTCCGATGCCATGCCATGCCAACGAACTAGTTCACTGTGTCACTCATCTCCCTAGAGAACATCTGTCCAAATTTCCTTGGACACTTTCATTAAGAAAGCAGACAAGGCTCCAGAAAAACCTGCAGCCAGGACTCCTGGGAAGACTCCAGCCAAGAACCCTTCAAAAAGTCCAACCGAGAGCCTTTCAAAAAGTCAAGAAAAGTCACCTCAAAGAAGTCCTTCCAAATCAATGTGATTGCTATTTACAATATAAATACATTAATATTACTTATCTATAATTGATCGAGTACAAAATTCTGGGGTATTTTTGGTGAAAATAGGGTATCAAGCCTTGGTTCAGGAACCAATCCCTATTTATAACATATTTCTTATAAGAAAATTGGTTCTGAGTTACAACGTTTCGACTTAATACATGGTTTTCAGGAACCAATTGTGTTGTAAGTCCAAGGACTGCTTGTATATAGGTAGAGATGGTCTTATGGATAAGGCATTAAATGGCAAATAAATCACAGAAACATAGAAAATTAGGGTTGGAAGGGACCTCAGGCGGTCATCTAGTCCAACCCCCTGCTCAAAGCAGGACCATCCTCAACTATAATATCCCAGCCAAGACTTTGCCTTCTCAGATCTTGAAAACCTCTGAGGATGGAGATTCCACCACCTCTCTGGGTAACTTTTACCACCCTCCTATTGAGAAAGTTTTTCCTGATATCTAACCTAAACTTCCCTTGCTGCAACTTTAGACCATTGCGCCTTCTTCTGTTATATGCCACCACTGAGAATAGTGTAATTTTAAACGAAGAGATATGGATGCAGTTTCCAGCTCTACCACATACATTGTGAAGAAGTCATTTAACCTGCTCAGTGCCTCAGCTCACTATCTGTCTAATAAGGATAATAGCACTCACTTTGTTTCCTGCACACTTTGCTTTGTCAAAATTCTGACAGCCATGTCAGCACTGAACTATTCATGTGCTTAGAGTGAGGAATCCCAAATCTGAACCTTAGAATAGATCATCAGCTCTTCAGAACAGGAACAATCTCTAGCTGTGTGTAAATACAGAGCCTCACCCAGTGAAGCACTAAGTGCTACTATAGTGATAACTACATCAGGTGACACGTAAGTGCCAACAGTGGGGAGGGGGCACAACTCCGCGCCACCGCCCCCACTGCTGGTGGGTGTTGGGTCCGGCTGGTCTGCACCCCCAAGCTCCACTGTATAGGAGCCCTAAGGTGCTACCTTTCCCCGCCTTCTGCCTGTCTCAAAAATTGTTACACTGCTCACTGTACGCAAATTGTTTGTTATTATAACCCTTTTCTTGTGTTGATTTATAGCCTCATCAGAGGCTATAACTTAGGCAAGTATTTATTAATACATAACATTTATAAAAACAGTCCATTATATATAGCTAGGGCAATAAAATAGGCTTCCCACAACTACACAGTCTATCACAGAACTACTTTTACAGCTTTCAGCTTCAGTGGGGCCAGATCATCACCTAATGTAAGGCAACTCTGCTGCAGACAATGGAAGTAAGAGGTGAACACTGATGAGACAAGATTTAACTCATCAATGGATAATTCTTGTGTGGCAGTTAACACTCATTAAGGCTCAGTGTTTACTTCCCCTTACAACTGTTGATAGTACCAGCTACTTTTTAGGTATCTTTAAATTTAATTTTCTTCCTCATTTCAAACAACTAGGCAGGAAAACAAACCCTAGGTCTTCTCCTTTCAGCCAACATGTTGCTATAACACTGTTTTTCCTTGTACAACCCTAAGTGCCATATGGCAACACCTGCCAGAAGGGACTGAGACTGGAACAAATACAGGTTTCCCACAGCTGTTTCCTTGAATCAACAGTATGTACTGGCTTGAATGGTACAAAGCTGCCATAAATATTCCTTCTCCAAGGCAACTGCAGCGTGAACTGTGTTGTTCCGACCTCTTAAGTATCAAGAAAGAGAACTAGAAATTGATCTCATATTTATACCCTTTATACTCCAGTAAAGCCTCTTGGCTTTAGAATTAAAAGATTCATGTCATAAATAAGAGGTCATCAAAGCTTCAAGCTGTTGTGTGGCCTACATTTCTGTTCTGGATTGAGACAATATGCTGCTGCTGTGGTTATGTGAACACTTTCTGGTGTGGGAGACATTATTACAGAAGTTATGGAAGTAAATGAAGAATTACATTATCAATATTTGGCCTTAAACCTGGGCCAAAAGCATGTTACTTTCTTGTCATCCTTACCTTACTGCTCAGCACTTGGACAATAAGGGGTAGGTGCCTGGAAAGCTAAGATTATTGACAAACAACTGACCTAGGGAGTGATGAGCAGCATTGGAAGTGTTCTCTATCCCAGCTAGTTGTGGTGTCAGAAAATTCAGCAGATTACCCCAGAACAGGAATATACTGTGCTAGGGAAGATGCAGAAATAATCTTCCTCCTACCTCAGTGCACAACTGCAGTTCTCAGCCATAGGAACAGCTCCGTCTGTGTACTGCTAGCGTTTTACTGCATCTCCTCTATAATATGGAGGAAGACGAGCACACCAGCAGGAACATACTGTGCCACCCTAGAACATCAAGGTATAGCCTTTCCCACCTCATTATACATTAAAATGGGACTTTGCCTTTTTTGTGGCATGCTAATCCTAGGGCAGTGGGGGTCCTTATCACACCAATGCTGGCCTGAGCCTAAATGGCACAATTCAGCCCATGACTCTTTGAGCTGAGACTCCTGCTACATATTCAAATGAAAGTTGTCTAGAAACCAACTATAGAGTCATTACACACTTTCAAGCACTGACTTCATAGCTGGTTGGCTCCTTTTATAGCTGGATAATCATTTTTATCATGTGACAATTACTTTGCTGTGTGGTTGGTCTAAATGTATTGAGTGATTAACCAGATAATTTTGTGACAATTACTTTGCCTCTGTGGCCAGTCTTACTTCGCATGTGTAGCCAGTCTAAATTTATTGCACGATTACCCAGTTAATTTTGTAATGTATGTAATGTGTAGGAGGGGCTGTCAGTTAGATGAAACCCCTTTACAATCTGCCCAAGCAATAGAGGCGGTACTAAAGTTTCACCACACAACTACATCCCAAAAGAAACTACGCACACACACATTATTCTTTCCTAGTGAAATACCTGTAGCATGTGAAGGCAAGGTACTTTCCTACTACTGTCTAAAAATGAACGTATCATAGGTAGCAGAGAGGATTCACAGAGCATAGAAATCCCTATCCTAGTCAAGCCAATAATGAAATTTATTTGAAGAGCTCACTAATAACTACATTGTAGGCCCATACTTCCAAATACTTTAAGTAGGAAATCAATATAAGTACCAAGGAACTCCTGAAAACACCAGTTGACCTGCATCTTATGATACCTAAATATCTATGGAAATCTGAACTATAAGGCCTGATTCTGCTATAAATTATATATATACAGAAAGCTACAGCCACCATAAAAAGTGAAGGCGGAACTTTCAAGCTTAATTCTTATCAGAGCTAACACACAGTCTCCAAACATCACAGGATGACTGATCTATTGGAACCTCCCATCACTGTTCAGCTTTCTTGGTCAGGTCTGTGGTCTATTCACTCAGCTCAATCACATTAAATCAGCCTTAAATAGATTCCTTCCTGGTATCTCCAAAACTCATCTGCAACTGTATAGATGGCTATTGTCTACACCTAGTACTTACTTACCAGCTATGAGTGACTACCCAGACAAAAACTAGGGAATATAATTTTACACTTGTGTTTAAAACATGGTTATTTTTATAGTGTAGATACAGGAGGGAATATTAATTATAATGGTCTTAAAGCAGGACGTGGCTCCATGCAGTGATTTAGTACATACTTTTCAGCTTGCCTGTCACCTGTTCAGAAAGGTTCTGGCAAGATTCATTGCTAAGAATAAATGCTATATTGTCTTAATCTTATTGAAGCTGCCATATTCCCAGGAACTTAATCCATAATGAAAAGATTTTCATCCTTTTAACTAGTGGGCTTGTGGGCAGCCCCAAACAAAGGAAAGTATTAGGTTGTACTTTGAGCAAATGTATGCAAAATTTCTTTAGAAGGTAGATATGCAAACACTGTGCACCTGCCTGCTGTGCTCCCAAACGCATCAGGGTCTGCTTCATCTGGGAGTAAGAATTCTGTGAAACCAGCAAGGACAATGTCCCTCTGAGTCCTTGCTGGCTTAAGCATGGGAGATAGACACTAGGGTTGTGTGAAATGGCACCGTTCCATTTCGATTTGTGTTTTGATGTTTTGACAGAACAGTGTTTCGTTTTCAATTTCATTTTGATTTGAAAATGCTATTCCGTTTCGTTTCATTGAAACAGTTTCACTGTTTCAACACTGTTTTGATGTTTCGCCCATACACTATAATGGGGAAGCTCAAAACAGCCTATAACTTGTCATTTCTGGTCTGATTTGGATAAAAGCTGCAGAAATGGTAGCCCCTTCTGAGGGCATGAAGCCTGCCAAGTTTCAAGGAGATTGGTGCAGGGGCTTTAGGGAAACTGTACCTCAAAGTCTTGAAAGCAAAACTCATGTCACGTATACGTGTTAAGCCACAGCAGGGTCAAACCTGCAGGCATGCTAGCCCCTGCTCAGGCCACAAAGCCTGCCAAGTTTCAAGGAGATAGGTGCAGAGGTTTGGGGAAAACTGCACCTCAAGCTGTGGACAAGCAAAATTGTGACATGGGTGACAATGTGTGTGTGTGTGTTAAGGCGCAGCAGTGTGAAAGCTGCAGGCATGCTAGCCCCTGCTGAGGCCATGAAGCCTGCCAGCTGTCAGCGAGATAGGTGCAGGGGGAATCTGGGTTCTGGGGCCCTGCACCTCTAGCTGCTGACAGGCAAAACACATGTCATGGGTGCTTGTGAGACTGCATTTGTCTTGGGGCACGGGGGGGTGAAAACTGCAGGTCTTCTAGGCCCTGTAGTGGCCACGAAGCCTGCCAGCTGTCAAGGACACAGGTGCAGGGGGAGTCTGGGTTCTGGGGCCCTGCACCTCTAGCTGCTGACAGGCAACACTGGAACACCCAGCTCAGTAATTGTGGCAGATAACAGGGCAGTTCAAACAATGCTGCCTTTTATGCAGTATTTCCATCCCTCCCCCAGATCACAGGGATTGGAAGGGACCTCAGGGAAGGATGACAGTCACTGGCCAGCTACACAGTCAATAATGAGAGCAGTCCTTTCCCCCACCTTCCCCCCTTCCTCTCCTTACTTTAGTTTCTGTTTCTCTGAAGGCAAACCCAGCTTGAGCTTTGAAATGTTTCAAAAATTTCAAAACATTTCAACTTGCCTCGTTTCGTTTCGACACCGTTTCGAAGCTCTCTGTTTCGTTTCAATTTCGCTGTTTCAAGCTTGAAACGAGTCGAAACAGCATTGAAACAAAACTGCTGGCAAAATTTTGCACAGCCCTAATAGACACTGCCTTGAACCATTGCAGGAATTGTTCCTGCTGAGCAGGGATCCTGGTTTTTCCTGATAAAAAAAACTGCAAATTCTGATAAAAAAAATAGCAAATGCTCTAATAAAAGCCCCAAAATCTGTGATTAAAATTAAAGGCCCCCCTCCAAACATCCCCTCCCAGTCCTCCTGGTACCCCTCACTTCCCACTTACAGCCCCCTGGCCCTGCTCATGCCTTACCCCTCACTCCACAGCCTCACAGCCTTGCTGGTGCCCCTCGCCCCCCACCTCTGCCTCTGCTCCCCCAGCCCTGCCAAAGGCGGCTGCAAGCTGCCAGGGCTACGGATGTGGGTCCTCAGTCCCCCTGCCCTCACTCCCACTGCTGCCTGCTGCGGACTTGGGCAGCAGGGGGCAGCTGACTCCCCACCTTGCTGCAAACTCCCAGACTTATGTGTGGGGTGGCTTTGGGCTCAGGCTCCCACCCTGCTGTCCTCCCCCAGGGCCTCCGCAGCCCAGCCAGTGTAACCCAGAACAGCAAGGAACAGCAGGACTGCACAGAGAAGCTGCCTGCCACTGCAAGCTCCATGCTGCCCTGGCAACGAGTCCCCTGTGTGCGGCTGCTTTGAGGGGCACAACCCCATGCAGCTGTCCTCACTGCAGCTGTGAATGCAGGGGGCACATTGCCAGGGCAGCACAGAGCTTGCAGTGGCAGGCAGTTTCTCTGCACAGCTCCACTGTTTCCTGCCACGTCGGGTCAGCCCACTGGGCTGCAGGGGCCCCGGGGGAGGACAGAGGGTGGGAGCCTGTGTCTGCCACGTGCATAGATCTGGGGGGCACAGGTCCCCCTTGTTCCCCTTGGGAGTGTGGACCACAGCAGGGTCCACACCACACCCACCCCCAGACAAACTGCAGCCCTGTCCCACTCCCTGCTGGGGCCCTGCAGCTACGCGTTGTGGCCCCAGGCCCCACGCACCTCCCAGCTGGGCAGCAGCCCCAGCCCTGCCCAGCTCCCTCCCTCCCTCAATCTTCCCCCTCCCCTCTACCTACCTGTGGGAGCTGCCATGTTTGTACATGCACATGGCACCCCCTATCTCATCACCTTCCTCCCACTCCCTGCAGGCTGCAACTCTGCCAGCCTGCAGGGAGCTCATTGCGAAACTGCAAAATCCCCAGGCTTCTCCAGTAAAATGAAAAATCTGGGTTTGCTTCCAGTAAAAGGTAAAATCCTCTGTTTACTCTGTTTTTCCACGGGAAACGGAAAACCTGGATACCTGCTGCTGAGCCAAACACAACCAAGAAGAGGGTTAGGGAAGGTAAATTGAAGTGCCCCTCTTACTTGTTTTAGTGTAAATTTTTATCCTTCCACAGTAGCCTCTCTCATTGTCCTACTGGAGTTGGATACTGTTCACCACATCATGATGTTATATGCTACATTATGTTATACTAATAAAGCTGAGGCCTAACACTTTATCCAGTTTTAGTGCATTCACATGAGTTTCCTAATCACTACAGCTAGATGCACGTGACTTTCTGATCCCCATGTAGAGATTTAGCTGGATAACACATATTCCGAAATCTTAAACTTGATAACAAGCTCAGCCTCATAGAAATAGATGCTGACATGCTCAGCTTCACAATGATACACATCAGAAAATTACTGTCAGTTTTTTAGTGATATGATTTCAGTTTTCATGCTTTAGGTTTTTATTTGCATTATTAATCAACCACAACAAACAATATTGTGATATATATTACTATGTTTTATTGAACTGACTAGGAGCCATTTGAAGTTAGATAAACAGAAAGTGTATTTAGCATTTAAAAAATGTATTATAGATACACATTGCTTGTTTTCACATATTAAGGGTTATACTGCTTACAAAATACCCTGATCAATTAAATAAACTGCTTCACTTCACAAAGAAGATTTCTTAGTTAACGGAAGTGTATGACCCTAAGAAGTGAGCGTATGATATGATTTAACCTAATTGAACATTTTTGTGAATTCTACACAGTTCCAGTAATACATGCTTGAATGAAACAACACTATAATTGCTCTTGTACATTTGTGCTGCTGTAACTCACCCAATGTTTGATAAGGGTCAAGCTCTGTGCTAACAATTTAAGACAAGAGCCTGTTATAATCTTTTACTGGAGAGCACTGGCTCAGGCCACAGCAATTTATGCTTTTAGCTGTGGAAATCCTTGCTTCAGACTGTAGCACATTAACCAAGATGGAGACTATTGGAATTAAATAATTTTCAGCAGTGTCCCTACATTGCACTTTTTGAAAATGATGGGTGTTTCACAGCTAGGCTGTTCTAAAAGTTCTTTTAGATATACTGTGATATATTAGCATAACAAGCTTCATAGATTTCATAGATTTCGTAGACATTAGGGCTGGAAGGGACCTTGGAAGATCATCGAGTCCAGTTCCCCCGCCCAAAGGGTAAGAAGTCAGCTCGGGTCATAGGATCCCAATTGCTTCACTGCATTTCATTGTTGCAATATCCCACTGTGAGCACTGTATAAGTACATGCAAAAGTAACAGGAGGACCCCAAAGATTGAGGTTTGGCAGTGGCTCACTGAAATGTCCTACAATTTGGCAGTGTAACTGAACTATCAAGGATATATGTAGATATCTGTAACTGCTCGTCCTGGTTCTTGTCTGGGCTCCTATTGGCTATGTGACTCTCACACTTGCTTACCAACTGGCAACTTATATCCCTTTAACTATGACCTCTGCATTTGGGTCATCAAGAGTGAAATAATTTAACTTTCATAAGAAGAAAGAAACCTAACAGCACAATAATCACAGATCATGTTGTGCAAATGAGAACTTTCTCAATCCACGCCTCATATGCTTATCTATTATTACTACTTACCATGACACGTTTTCCTGTCAGCCAGCAGAACAAAACCTCCTGGGCATGTGCAATAATAGGAACCAGGGAGATTTACACACCCCAGAGTGCAACCATGGTTCCAAAAGGCACATTCATTGACATCTGACAAAAGAAAACAGAGTTGTGTATCAGAATATGGTCATCAAATCCAATACATACAAGTGCTGCTGTCTTATGGAAATTAAACCAACACAAAGTTCAAGAAGAAATTCATATTTAGTTGTTCAGAGACACAGTGCATCATTCTGAAAAATATGCTGTTCTGACATCATAATAAGCAAGATAGTAGAGTTCATGCAAATACGCTTTAAAAGTTCTCTAGCAAACGTAGTATTTTATCACTATAAAGGGTATGAGTATTTTTAAAAATGCAAAATGGCCAGATTTTTAAAGATATTTTGGATGTGCATAGGCACCCAGTGTGATTTTCAAAAGTGCCTATCCATTGATTTCAATGGGATTTAAGGGGGGGGGGAAAGGCAGGAAGAAAGCTTAGCCCCCTTGTTCATCCATCCCATCTTTTGAACTTATACATTACCTTCACAGTATTGCTTATTTCTACTCAAAGCAAATCCATTAGAACATCTGCACCAATGGGTCCTGGAGTACTGCCTGCAGATTCTTCTCTTACAGTTTTCTTTGTTAAAATTGCAGGATCGTTGTCCTGGAAAAAGAAAATAGTCTCTAGGATGGAGACTGTTTCATAACATACAGGATTTATCTTTAGACAGAAACTAACGTTGTGGTCAATTCCTGGGCGGAACCACCAAGAGGTACAACAGAATCAGACGCGGGTTATTAAGTCTGGAAAGGAACACTAGTATCCTTCCTCTCCTTATCTAAAGTCCACTTCAGAATTCACATTGGTCACTTTGTTTCCTGATGATAATTTCCTCTCCTGTGTTTTCTGTGGCTTATGCTTCATTTTAAGTGCAAACAGGAATCAGAGCCCCATTTTAACTGACATTGCACAAAAAGATAGTCCTTGTCCCAATGCTTGTCCTGCCTTCATTTATTCTTGAAAACAACATAACTTACCTGATTTTCTTGCTGTTAAAGTTGATATGGATTTTGCTTTATTTTTGTCTCCCTCCCCCTTTTCCTGGAATCTTCCTTTGTCTGTTATCTTTATCTTCTAGGCTTGCCCAATTTAGGCCCTTCAGGGAAGGGATTACAAAGCCACTCAAAGGCATGTTAAACATATGATTAATCAGAATTTGCCCCTCCCTGATCACCAGTCTGAACTAAATTGATCTCCCCTTAAACTTTTCTGCCCCAAAACTATCCCAAAAGTTCCAGCTATTAGGTAAGCTTGACAGCCTCCATTGACAGCTAACAAATGGATGCTATTTGCAACCAAAGGACGGAGCTAGTTCCAAAGCTAAGGTGTCCCCCCCAGCCCTCCTGGATTACATCCCACAGCATATTCCCTTGCTTTTAGTCAGGGATAGGCAGCTTTAGTGGCCCCAACAATCACAGGAAGACCTGAGAAGTGTGGTGGGATCTCCAGTATGTAGATGTAAAGGTTTGTCAGCCCATATTGCATTAATTTGCCAGTTTCAAGGAAATCCCTCCTCTTGTGGTAGAGTATGATTTTGATCCTGTCAACAAAGAGCAGAGATGCTTGGCCCCTAACTGTTTCTTCTCATCAGCTGTCTTTTTGAGTTGGGAAAATAACCCTCTTTTCCTGATGGTAAAAACAGATCAGAGAGCTAGTGCTTAGTAATGAAGCCTTCTTATGTATTAATAATCTAGTTGGCATGACTGCAAAAGATCTTTTCTGGCCACCTGTCAGCTCAAGTACTTCCTGGGAACATCTGGAGCACAGACAGGACTGATTTCACTAGGGGCACATGGGCAACAATTAGAAGCTCACAAGGTGATTTTTGCTGACTGTCAAAGTCCAAATGCTGAGACTTGTATGTGACAAATACAGGACTACCCCACACCGCTGCATCTTCTCCCCTCCACGTGTTCATGCACAAGGGAGTGGTCCCTTCACACCAGGCTTATCACCTTGCCAACAAAATGTGCATGGTATACTCTTGTTTTATATATTAAATATCATTTCTTTGCTCCTGTTAATCACATGTGACTGGTACTAATCATCTACTTTGCTCTGCTGAATAGACATTATGGAAATTTTATGGCAATTATCTTCCTTGTCATGTTAACTGTCATTTTGGATGATGAGGATCATGTTTGCCTTACCTACTATACACTATTTATACTGTCACAGTTGCAACTTTTTCCTAGCAGGTGCAAGAGGGCTTTATGTGCCAGGAAATAAGAGTTAAGTGTTGACAAAACCACAGGTAGAGGTGTTCTCTATCTACATTACAAAGGGTGCATGCTTAGGGGAAGGGGTGGGGGAGGGGAGGGAGTGTGCTTAAAGAAATTGATTGCTGTAAAACAAAGTTGTACCATTTACCCAGATGAGGTTGTAGACATCTCTACAAGAACTAATTTTGTATCCACTTTGGCCAGAGCAGGGAGCCAAGTCAGATAAACACCCAACATCAAAAGGAATGGAATTTGGTAATCAGTTTCCAGTAAAGACCAACAGATCAATATATGGAAGTGCAGCCTGAAGAGGGGTTATGCTCCCTCAGAAAGCATTATTTGGCAACCTATAGTACCAGTGCCAAAGCAAGCTGCCTAAGGGACATTGCACAGTATCAACAATAAGGAGCATCTTCCTCTATCTAGTATTTCCCAAACTTTTGATACCCAGAAAACACTTTTTTCTGGATTAAAATTGGCAGAACACATCACTCTTACACCCAATAAAGGTTTTTGCACGTCTGCATGTATCCATATATATATATATTTTACACACACACATATCCATATTTTTTTTTTACAAAACATAACGTTCCCCATTCTCCTGCCAGAGGAAATAATACCAGTGCTGAGATGTACAGTTAGAAAAAGGACACCAGATACATCTTTCTTTAAGCAAGGATTAGTCTCTGCACCAGAGGTTCTCAAACTTTTTTAGCCTCAAGGCCCCCCTCTATAACTTTTCTGAATTTCACAGCACCCCAGTTAAAATCATGGAGACAGATCTACATTCTGAAAAGTTATGAAGAGTGGCCTTGAGGCTAAAAAACTTCAGACTCACTGATCTAGCTGGTGCCACTTAACGGTAGGAGGGGCACTCTGCACTTTTCAATGCCCCCCAAACCTCTCATCTATACCCTCAGGGGGCAAGGGCAAACCCCACTGCTGAGGCACTGCAGAGTCCCAAATGCCAGCAACTACCACCATGGCATTTCCTGCTGGCCCTGGGAGCATAGGAAGAGTGGAAAGGATGAGCAGCTCCGTCTGTTTTTCACCTGCCCACCTGCTTGCTGCAAAACATGCTGCTGGGAGCATGGTGGGGGGCCAGCAAGAGCTATCTGGGGGTGACAGTCCTCCAAGAAGAAGCTGCAGGCACTGCTGGAGTAGCCGGGGCAGGCTCAGGGTGCCAGACAGGGGAGAAGAACATTTACTGCCTAACACAGGGGGATTTTGTGGCACACCTCTTGCTCCTGTGGCACGCTAGTGTGCTGTGGCACCCCCTTTGGGAATCACTGCTGTAGCATCTTAGTTCCCAAGAAAGAAAGGGAGAAAGAAAAAAAGACCTTTTGGAATCAGTTTATCCATAACAACAATTACTAAATGTCCCCTGCTGACTTTCTTCTTTGGAAAGGTTTCTCTCATTGAGCCAAGAGATTAATTCTCAACTTGTATGTTTTTGTGTCACTTGAAAGTCTCTGAATATAATGTTGCCCAGGATTCAGAAAGGTTAAATATGCAACCCTGGGAAATCTTCTTTCTTTCAGCACTATTGAGAGTCCTATGTCTGTTAAAGAAATCGGCTCCTATATATTAAAAATTTGGAACTGGTTTTACTGCTCTTCTCATCTAGGTTGAATCATGGTACTCATGCCTTTAGGAAATAAGAGCAGACTCTCCAAGAAAATTCCATTGTTTCCCAATGTCTTGGAGGAAACACCAGAGCTTACACTACAGTTCTTATCCCATTACATCTGGCATTTTTTGCTTTTATTCTGGGAGCATCTTGAGGTCTGACCTCTCTTTTCAGAAATGAGTAACTCAGCTCCCATAGCAAGTTCCCTGTGCCCTGCAGTAGAACTGGAGCACAAGCATTCATGTTAACCATGCAAGATTAATTTCCTACATTGAATTTGCTTTCATGTTTCTTGCAAATTCCAGTGATTACTGATTTAAAGCCTGAGGTAGTTTTCACATGTGGTGTATGTATATATGTTCAATATATTTGTACTGCATATATAGAAAAGAACTTTCAAGACAGTTTTTTAGAAGAATCTGCCAGTTTTCATTTCTGTTCATTGCAGGGACTGCCGTTTTCCACACTGAGGACTGCTATTTTGAAAGTATATTTCCAATAAACAATCAGGTTCTCATTGTCATTGTATCCAAAGTTGCATGGGATTGGCCCAGAGCCTCACTCCAGCATAGGCTGGGCAAACCCCAGCCCAGAGCTCTCTCCCCTCCCTTTTCTCCCTCCCTTTCTGCAGACAGCACCAGGGGCAGGGCTGGGCTGCATCAGCCCAGCCAGGATTGTGCACAGGGACAGCACAAGTTAATGAAGGTGCTCCACTTTGAACCACTTTCATCTGAACCTTCATTACATGAGGGTTAATTTGCTGTGTGATCAGGCACTTTTACAGCGCTCTGCAGCCATGCACTTCTGTCAGCACATGGCTGTACAGCACTTTCAAGGGGTCAATCATGCAATAAATGTCACTTTTGTCAGTGCCCTAAGGAACAGGTTGGCCAGGTGTCTGAGAACATGGATAGCAAGTAGAGAATAGCTACAATCATATAATAATTGTTGGTTCTGTTCCAAAAGACACTGAAGCACAATAGCAAGGAAATCCAGTTATCAAAAGGTATTAACATCTGAAAGTCAGTTTCTAGAATCTGCCCTCACATTGTTAATTCAGTCCATAGCCTGAGCTCCTTTTGGACTGGAAAGCTATTGGATCCTCAAAGGGCCACAGTAGCAAAAAACACTACTTCTAGCTACAATTTCCATATCCATCTGATCGGACATGGGCCACTGTGATCCCAGCATAATTCCAGCTGAGATTACTGCAGTTGACATCCAGGAACAAAATCAAATATCCTACAGAACTAACAACTGTAACAATATACACAGTTGTTGTGAACACATTACTTCAATGCTTTGCTTTCTGTATTGGCTCATCCTTGAATACAGAGTCCTGTTCAAAAATCTGTCCCAATGTTCACATTTTAAGGGACTGGCCTTACTATCTACTTAAAAGATGGTGATCCTCCACTACCCTTCCTTCACAATCATGACCTCTGCCCACAGCTACATTCTTGCAGAAGAAGACATAATTAGAGTCCTTCAGGCTTTGACTACCTTGTCAGAAACGTGGAGATTAATCTGCCACATTATTGTGGTCGTACTCTCCCCTACCTTGTGGGTCTTTAAGAGGAGACTGGACAAGCACCTGGCTGGGGTCATATGACTCCAGCTCTCTTTCTTGCCCAAGGCAGGGGGGCAGACTTGATGATTTATGAAGGTCCCTTCCAACCATAACAACTATGAAACTATGAAACTATAATGTTATATACAGAAATTTAGGGAAACTAAAGGGAGGTTTG